TAGCTTTGTGCTTAATTACAAAATCAACAAACAAGCTCATAGCTCTGCCATCTCTCGACTGATTTGAGGTCTAATTACAGTTTTGGACTCAAAAGATCAAACCCTTTCGATTGATGTATTTTATCACGTCCAATGTCTCATAGATTAATTTACTTTAATCTTGCCTAAAAGAATTTCAAGTGCCGCGGCTATTGAGGATTCCCTTTTGTCATCTACTGACCAGAGGGAAAGCAACACAATTCAGTACTACACGCCGCCGCAAGGACTTTGCCCGGTTCTTCGAACCGAATAACGGGATTGACTGTTACTTTTATACCACATCCATATTGAAAATGCGAAGCTTATTTATCAATATCACAACTGGAGTGCGAACTCTCTATTCGCAGCCAGCCCGACTTCTTAACCACTAGTCCATCCCCGGCTTCCGGAATAATTGAACAATGTTTCTTGTCTGTTGTCGTAAGACTGTAAGAGCACCATTAAGTATGTAACTTATTAAGTAAGCTCCTCTTGATATTGTATTGATTTTGTTACGTAATATCAGTACATTTTATGTTATTGACATTTTAGGATTTTTCAAGCTGTGTTACAGATTTGTATTTGTTTGTTTGTTTGTTTGAAGTTAAGCACAAAGCTACACAATGGGCTATCTGTGCTCTGCCCACCACGAGTATCGAAACCCGGTTTCTAGCGTTGTAAGTCCGCAGACATACCGCTGTGCTACTGGGGGCTACAGATTTGTATCAATATTTTGAGTTGACTAATGAGTTAGTTATAACAGAAGCTTTACTTTTAGCTTATAGACGTTAAAATTAGTTTTCAGAGTAAGTGTTGAATCATTTTTACTCTGAAGGCAAAAAACAGAAATAATAAACTAGAAAATTAAAGAAGCATTTGGGCTTGGCATGAGTCCAAGGTTCGAGACGTAATACCGCTGAATACACTTGTCGCTTTCAGCACGTTATAAAAGTGACAGTCTAACCCATTATACTGTTAAGGAGCCGGATAAAAGCCTCGTGTCGGCGAGTGCTGTTGATTGGCTGCTTTCTCTTGGGTCAGTAGTTTAAAATCAAGGTCTCTGACCTGGTCGTTTAGCCCATGTGCGCGTAAGGTGTCGTTGAGGTTGAAATTTCCAACTCCACTAAGAACTAGTTTCATCATAAGTTTTGAAACATAACATTTTTAACGTTTTACAGAAACGATAAGAATGCAGGTTCATATTAAATTATTTAACGACGTCCTATTGTTATACTATATATATATACATATAGCTATGAGTATCGCATTTCTTTCCAACTGAGCTATATATAAACTGCCAGCTTGTCACTTGATGTTCGCTCTTCACTCGAATAAGTAAATCATAAAACGTTTTTTAAAGTGCCCATCCTTATAAAAAAAACTATCGTTGTTGGCTGAAGCTTAACAAGAAAGTGGTAAAGGAATTATTTAACTATGTGTATGAAGCTCACTTCGACACAGATTTCCTTTACTAAAATATCTCAGTAAAATTTCCGCCTTAAATATACTATGTGCGTTACATTTGGAGGTGTTTTCCTTTTGTCTCCATTGGATAAGTTCACTAGAAACCGACTAATGAGAGCTCACATAGCAAAACGATTTTTCATTCGGTGGGGTAGGGGGGGGGGATAATATGAGGCTCTGGAATGGAAGAAGCTGTCATGTACTGTCGTTATTTCTTCTTCTTCTTCTTTTTTTTTGGCGGCACAAACTTTCGCCGCAAGGGTCGAGGTTTAAAATTAAAACCTGAACGCGTCTGTTCATTATTGGTGTTTGTTGCATAAGGTGGACTTGAGAAGAACTCCGTTGGTTACTATCCTCATTAGGCCTAACAGTCATCATGATTGATAAAGAAGCTCAGAGCTTAGTGATGAATTACGTAATCCTCATCATTTTACTCTTGATTCTGTGGCTTCTTTACACAGGGGTGAGCTGAATTACTTTCTAAAAGTCTTTTTATTAATTAAGGGTAATCTTACGCCAAATCTTATGAAGGCCTAAGCATTTAGAGAAATTTATTGATTAAAAAAAGAACACACATAAAACGAAAATAATAGCACCCGAAGCAGCTTAACAATGCTAACTTAAAATCGTAGCATATTAAATGTCTTCCCACGACTATTCTTTCATGTTTGGTTGAAAACAACAACTGAAATGTAAAACAATGTCTTTGTTTTTGGTTTTGGTTTATATTTGAAAAAGCATGACAAAAGTCTCCTGATTGATGTTCTCAATTCATATTTGATATTTGGCTCTAATTGCTAAGGATATTTATTGTACTTTAAATATTTTTACGGTTATTTAGAACAGTGGGTGTTGTAAACTAGCTTATAGTTTATCAGTTCAAAATTAGGGACGACTATTTCTGGTGTAGCTTTTAAGAATATCAGAAACATAAAAATCCAGTTAAAACCGTACCAGTTGTGTTTAAACAATTTGCTAATATAAACAGGGTATCAACCCTACCATGTCTATGTATAACAAAAGGCCCGAAGAGCCCTCGTATTAAGCGAAATGCCTAGTCAGCACTGGATGTAATAGATATGATGTGGTTGACTTGACATGTTATACGTTCGTCTTTACTTTCTCTCATTCGTAATGCAGACGAACTACTCAAAAATTTTATGTCACTAATTATGGGCTCGGTTTGGTTATTATAAAATTCGGTGTTTATTTGCGGAGATGAGAACAAAAGTAGCACACGAAAAACTGTATTTAAGCCTCAATACAGCATAGTTTGCTGTAGAGAACCTACCAAATCATAAAGAAAACACATTAATCGATAAGTAGAGAGAAAGAACTCACGCAAAACGATGGTTAGCTGTCAAATATTTAGTCCTTTCATCGCGTTTATTTTAGTCTTTAAGCAGCTTATAGGTACGAATATTTAGTCCCCTAATCACATTTATTGTGGTGTTTGACTTACAGGTACGAGTATTTAGTCCCTTAATCATGTTTATTGTAGTCTTTAAGCAGCTTACAGGTACGAATATTTAGTTCTCTAATCACATTTATTGTGGTGTTTGACTTACAGGTACGAGTATTTAGTCCCTTAATCATGTTTATTGGAGTCTTTAAGCAGCTTACAGGGAAGAATATTTAGTTCCCTAATCACATTTATTGTGGTGTTTGACTTACAGGTACGAGTATTTAGTCCCTTAATCATGTTTATTGGAGTCTTTAAGCAGCTTACAGGGAAGAATATTTAGTTCCCTAATCACATTTATT